ATATATATGTATGTATATATATATACATATGTATATATGTATGTATATATATATACATATATATATATGTATGTATTTAATGTGTATTATTGTAAGATTTCTTCACAACAGTTCATGTCCACAACACCAATGTTCCGTATCCTTCTCTTTCTATCTTTCTGTCTCTCTATTAAGCATTCCACTCAGACCTGCACCGAGGCTCTGAGCTCAAAAAACTCTCTGACCATGAGTGTGTATGTGCCTGTGTTTGTGTGCATCTGTGTGTGTCTGAGTGTGTGTGTGTGTCTGCGTGTGCGCTCGGTGCGTGCCTGAATGTGTGTCAGCCTCAATTGCTGGAGCCTATCCAAGGTTTCCGTGGTGACCACACAACACAACGAGACAATCAGAGGCAAGCCCACGCAGCGCGGCGAGAGGACATTAACACAGGAACCGCGGGTCAGGGGGCAGAGGAAGGCAGGGCAAGACAGGGGGAGAGGAAGAGATGAAGAGGAGGGTGGAGGGAGGCGTTAGAGCACGGGGAGAGAGGCGAGAGAGAGTGAGGGCGAAGGAGAGAAAGGAGAGTAAACAACAATAAACAATAACACAACCTTAAAGGCTACTTTAGGTCCCTCCTTTTCATGCCTGCAAGACATCAAGAGCTTTAAAGGTTTCCTGGCCCCAGGAGTGCCTATGTGGTTTTGGCTGTACCTCACCTCTGTGTGTGTGTGTGAGAGAGACTCTGTGCTGTGCTGTGGTGTTAGTCAGAGATGGCTGCATGCGTGACTGAATCCATGAGCAGGAGGGCTGTGTAAAGGTGCGTGTTTGTGTTTATGTGTGTGTGTGTGAGCATGCACAGACCTGAATGTAACATGAGAATGTGCGTGTGTCTTTTGAAATTCAACTGCTAGAAACTGTGTGTATGCTTGTGCATGTTTTGACTTTATTTTGTGTGTGTGTGTGTGTGTGAGAGCTTGTGTGCTTGTGTGCGCCTGTAGTCGTGCACGCGGGCGCTCTCACATATCTCTGTCCCCCGGGGATGACGCTAAAAATATGTGGCTCCTCAAGCCTTCTGGTGTCTGAGCAGCGTCTGTCTGCTCTCCATTGCTGTCCCTGTGGCCCTCCCTCCCCTCCGTTACTCCTGTTCCCTCCATTCCTCCCTCAATTACACCCTCTTCCAAACACAGTACCTCAGCAAGCGCACACACACACCAACTACACTCAGCTGTGTCCCTACTACACTTCCACTGAGGATGACCTCTGCTCAGCCAGAGTGGGATAAAGGGAGGCGGATGAAAAAAGAGGGTGAAAAAAGGTAGAAAACAGTGAAGAAAAATGTAGGCGCAGTATTTGGAGAGGGGAAATGATCAAGTAATGTGGGAAGACTAGAGTCGTGCTTTTGCAACAATGTGCATGTTCATGCTGTATGTGTAACTGTCATTGTTTATGGTTTTTTACTGATTTTTCTCAGTAATAATAAGTAAAATAAAGAAGACATCAATGTAAACTGATTTTTCACTGGGTTTTCATGTTCACATGCTCCCATAAAGGTGTTTCCTGCTGCAACAGGAAAGGACACTGACCGCTGCAGTTTACAGTAAAACAGGAAGAGACAATGCAACGTTTATTTTAAGATCTTTATACAGTTTTAATGGCAACAGTTAAAACAACTGTAAGGGTCGTATAATACACCTCAATAACAACAAAGTTACAAATAAAAGTTTAAATCTGTTTATCTATATTAAGTATTAAATATGTTGTAAATTATATTTTTAGTATTGCTTTTAATTTAAATATATTATATAATGTAATATACATTTGATATACTCACAATATATACTCAAAACTGTTTGTTTAAAACCTAAAAATTAAGGATTAAAATCAGTCACACCTCTCTATATGGCAGTCCGGTTGTTAAAGCTCTTAAGGAAATCTGACCCTCTCTCTTTGCAGATATTGGTGCGTCAGAAGCGTCTCGGAGGGCTGCCTCGGGGGAGGCAGGGTCATCAGGGAATGCCCCAACCTGTGCAGGGCGTGGCCGGGTGGCTCAGCTGATGAAAACCTTTAGCGCTGAAAGCACTACGACCCCCACGCAGACCCCACCCCGCGGCATCAAGCCACCCCTCCCTACCAAGCCTAACCACTTGCGTCTTACGACCACACCCACTGTCAGGTAATCCTCGAGCACTGATGCACAGATGCCCACCCAGCTTCACGCATCCCTGTTATTCAAATAAAGCCACACTGGACAATGTCGGACGTCTAACTTGGAGTCTCAGCCAGTGTTAATGGGATGGAGAACTCAAAAGATGGCTCTTTGAAGCCATGAAGAAATGATAAAGTTCACAATGTTGCTATCACTCCCAAAGCAAAGCAAAGCACAGCAATGGAAATGCTTGAATGTAATGGTTTTCTTTTATTTTTGGATGCTGCAGTACTGTAAACACTCTTTGTGGGAATTAATTCCAAAGCAATTGATTGCAATGTATTTGTATTTACCAGGGAATTGATGACTATCACATGTATAAACTTGTTGTTGACGCGTTCCACTTTGTGTAACATGTGGACAATTGGAGTCCAATTCACAAACCATGTACAACACAATATTGTTTACTTACCATTGACAGTACTTTCAATGCTTATGAGACAGTTTGAGTTTGATGACATGCACACACACATGTGGTTCAGGAGAGAATGGGCATGGGATGGCATAATGGGGTGAAATCTTGCTGTCCCCTTTCCCTGGGAATAGTGTAGGGTTGTTTATTTGTCACAATGCAATGTATGTCTCCCTCTGCCACCTGGCAGGAGCCTCAGTGCGACCTGTTGTGGACCAATGACAGTGCCAAATGCCTCGTCTGTCGCTCCCAGTGGATCAAGTTAGACAGTTGCTGCCAAATAATCCAGCTCTGTGTTACTCTTCTCCAGTTTTATCAGTACTATTTTAAAGATGTGTGGCTGTACTTTTTACATTTTCTATAGGGAGAAAGAGGTTTTGTAATGGGATATTTAACATTACTACAATGCTCACTTGTAAAATGAGAGACATTTTTATCTTTAATGTCAAGCTTGTATGGTGCAATCGAAGAAACAATACAATTGTGTAACTTGTGCAACTTGTATCTTAAAAGCCTTCTATTTCTATTGTTGTGTAGTTTTTTATTTTTATTTGTGTCATTCCCCCACCATTTGACTGTGTAGCTAAAGACATCATATTTTCATCATATATTTTTCATGTCTTGTAGCTTACAGAGGATAAACATTTACAGTCAAATATCTATACCAATATTATAATTATTTCAACTGCTTTACAATTGCAACAGAATGAGAAACTTTGATTAGAAGAATACAACCTGCTCCACTAACATGCTGTACAGTTTGCCGCTAGTTCACTAAGAATATATTTCATTTTTAAATGTCCAGCCTCAGCAAATAGACCTGCATGCTTCACCATGACTAGTGTAAAATTTGAATTTCAGCACAGCTACACATCCACCCCCACGTTTGTTATTACTGTGCTCACACATTTCTTGCTTAATTTCCAGTAATGTTCACCAAGCTTGCAAATGAAATTGAAATGTCTGCCGATGCTAAAATTGTGAGGCACGTTTTCACATTTGTATCTCATTTACACTGCAGATCCTCCTCCTCGGCTAATGTTTGGCAACTGGCTAATCTGTTTTTTAAAAAATCTCTGCAGTAACAAATCAGCTCATTGGGGTGAATAAAAGCAACATGATATAAGTTGACGCACCACTCACTGATTAATGATGAAGTGAGAAATGGCCTCTGTTGCTGTATAGTATCTTAATTAACAAAATGTATAGAATGACCACAAACACACTTTGGCTGTCATTTATCTGGCAGAATATAATCCATTTCATGAATCTGGTTTTGGTGTTGAAGCAAGAGTAGCACCTGTGTCATAGCTATACATCAGAAGTTTATGTAACTGCAAAATGACACGCTTTGTATCTGTGGCTGGCATTTCAAAGATGATACGATGGAAAGACAACACAAACACACATATATGCACACATGTACCGACTTACAGAAAGACAGAGACAATGGCAACAGTAGACCTGTGGAGCGATACACTTATAGGATACAGAAGAGTACAGCATTCACTATATTCTTTACAGATACACACGTAAGCACACGTGTTGCAATAATCAATTGTGTAGTTGTTTCAGAGAATTTCAGAGGACAGTGATTCATCAAGTCTCTTTCTTTTCTCAACAGGCTGCATTCAAAAACACAAACACACCCTGTACCGTCATCATCACTGTATTTTTCTTTTGGGCAAACTTTTACAAGTATCATTACCAGATATTGTTTTGGTTGAGCTGAATGGGTAAGTGTTCTGCATCTGGAACCAGATGTGCCCCCGCTCAACCCTGAGATCAGATCCTAAAAGAGATTCCTCTTTGGCTCTCGCTGTTTTCAAGAAGACATTAGAAACACCTTGCTGCCTTGATGAATGTAACTATAGTTTTTAATAGCATTTCTATTGTAGATTTTTAAAACACTGGAGACTTACTTGAGACATCGCACAAATAAAATAAAATAAAAATATGGTGGACTTGTTAAGATAGAAGTATATAATCAAATCGAACTCTCGGGAAATTGGGAAAACCTGCAGTATAACAGTTAAATATCTTGACATTAAAGTGAATACTAAATCATATTGAAAATACTCTTTAAATGCTTTATCTAAAACATGTTGATTACAGGGTAGTTGTTACAGGGGTTGAATAAGTCTTGTTCTTGTCCACCCCTCCAGTACACATTTCCCAGCTGGGGAAACATATTTCAAAGTCAGGCTGGTGACTCTTGTATAACCATTACACTGCTGCCACTCAATATAGTCTCCTCAGAGCTCAGCTAAAACCTCACTTATACTTGCTGTACATTTTTCAATAACATCATCATTAGTTACACAATACTTTCAACAAGTACTGTATGTCAAAAGCTCTTTTGATTGTTGGAAAAGCCCAGCAAGCTGACCTCTTCTCTGTGCCATCTCACTGCCAAGGTGATAAGAGTCAAACAATGCACTGCTGTCCAAATGAACATGGATCTTGTTTTATCTGTGTAGGCCCGCGCAGGGGGTAAGCACCACTATTATATTCACTTGTAAAAAGTGCATCATGCTTTGACAAACAGTCCGCAGGGAAGTGAAACCCAACACACATACACATGTAGTGTTTACAATTAGATTTACTGTAGGCTACGCATCCTGAAGACTTACAACAAAACACATCATGAAACATTTAAGGTCCTTCTGTACACACACTGTACACACACTGTAGGTGCTTGTGCAACACACTACAAAATGCTGAAGCTCGCAACTGTGCGATGCCGCCTCTGTTTCCCAATGAGCCCAACAATGGCTGTGGCTGTTCTCTGATGCGCAGAGACATCGTCGAGCAGTTTCCAGGAGATATCTGTGGCGAGTCCCTTGGTATGCCCCCCCACCCCCTCCTCCCCACACACTTCTCCTCTTCATCCACCGAGCCTGGCCACTGCTGTCGTCAGGGCCCTCTGACGGGAGATAAAAAAAGAGGCTGTTGTTGTCTCCTTGCAGGAGAGATGGACGCCTGTTTCTCTCTCGCGTTCCTCTCTCTCTCTCTCTTCTTCGCCTCACTTGGTCACACCCACCGAAAGGAAGTGGAAGGAAGAGAAGAAAAAAACAACCTGAAGAAAGAAAGAAAAGCTATACTGGTCGGGGCATCCACCCCCACCACCCACCAATAACCACCCCCATGGCCCCGTGCTCCCCGTGAGCCATCCACAGCACCCCCAGTAGAGAGAGAAAGAGCGAGAGAGGAGAGAAGAGAGGGGGGCCAGGGCCATGTGATACGCAGAGCATGCGGGCACAGCTTCACCCCCAGGCAGAATGAACGGGGGCCTGCTGTGTCTCTCCTGCATGATTAATCTGGCTGAGGGGCAGGAGGACTGCCACAGCCCTGCCTGCATTAACTCCCTACTCTCCAGGTCTGCATGAACACACACACTAACTCACATACCAGCAGTATACCCATGGTCAAGACACAGGTTGATATACACATAGTGCTCTGTGTGTGTGTGTGTGTGTGTGTGTAACTAGTAAAGAACAGTGACTGGCACTGAAGTGGATTCCTATTGAGGTATCAGATTCTGGCCCCATTAAGTTTAACTGTATACTTGTCTTTTGCCAAGGGCACCGTCTCACTGTCATTTAGGCACTGACACGACACTAATCCTTCTGCATGTCGCCAAACTGTAAAGAGCACCGTGACGTGAGGCCGTTCGATAGTGTTGGTTTCTAGGTAGTTCTGGGTTTCTGTGACTCATCCTCTCATGTGACCTCTGTCTCCCAGGCAACATTGTGGATGTTTGCTGGTGCCGGTCTTGTCTTTTGTGTAATTCATATGAGGCAGATGGTCCAGGAAATGTGGCTTACTCTTCAAAATTCTCCCAGACAAAGAGTATTTGGCATGTGATGGTCAAATTTTCAAATCACCATGACAGCTTCTGAGGATTGCACAGCAGGCCTGTCATATTGTCTCACAGTATTACACTCAGCTAATGTAGACATGATACCGGAAAATAATGTATACAGTAAGCGTCCCTCTCACAGCTGGTAGGACTGATTTCTTCCATGTCCTGAAATGTTTTAGCCCTCAACCGCTGTAAAGCAGGAAGTGTTGTGAGGACTGGCTGTTGTGCAACAGTGGAGACCAAGCATCAAAAGGCAGTCAGAGGGTTAACATCCTGCAGTCCGCTCCACATTAACTGGAAAGGAATGAAGTGTCAAGCATGTTTTCACCACAGCGAGACGGTCAAAACCCTAACCCCTCCTCCTCCTCCCACCAACCAGTCACCCCTCAAACCTTCTCCCCCACATCACCCACACGCCTCCCACTCCCAACAACCTCCCACAGCCATGACCAAATTATTTTCCAGCCTCCCGAGATTTGCCTTGCCAGACAAAAATCTGCAGCGCAGTCCTGATTCAGTGCACAAGCACACTCAGCCTCCCCTTGTCTCTCGATGCCTTTCTGACACAAAATAGGTCTTCTTTTTTACCAGCTTGGCCTCTGTTGAGATGTCTCTTTGTGTGTTTACTTGACAGATGTAAATTGCTACCAGCCAAACAAGTTGCCTGTCTGTGTGTTTACTTTCTTAATTTGAACAATGACTAGTTCAAGTGTTTTGCAAGAACTAAATTAATCTAAAGACAGGTATGGCACTAATACAGGTGTTCTGGTTTGAAGGGGCTGAATGAAAGTATTGAATGAGCAACCTAGACAAGGAGAGGGAGGAAGCACAAGACAGAGAAAGAGGACGGACACTCAATGATTGAGAGAATAAGTGAAAAGGGGAGTAGAATGAGAGTGAGGAGAGACAGAACGAGGGAGGGAGAGAGAAAATAAGCCCCACCAGTGAGCAGGCCACACAGCCCTGCCAAACTGCTTGAAAAAAAGCCCCCTCTGTTTTATTTATAGTGCGCTGTATCCATGGCAACCAGAGAGGTCAGGCAAGCTGGGCCTGCGCTTCACCCTGCTCTGGGGATTAGGATTTCACAGAGGTTCTCAGATGTGAGGAAGGTGGGCTAGAGCAGCTTGCTGCTCGCCAACGCAGCCCTCCTGCCTTTTGGTGAAGTCTGGGCCCTTCGAGGGAAGAGAGGGGGAGCAGCAGAGAGTCATGGGAATACTGTGGGAACGGTGGTTTGTGGTGATGGGGCTGCGAGGAAGGAGACTAGCACGAAGGGGAAAACGCATGTTAGCAGTTGCATGCAGAGGCTGTTTTGATTAGGTACCTTCTGTCACACAAAGGCTCATTGGAGTTTATTCTTTCTTGTTTTTTTTTTTCTTATAGTAGAATTAAATAAAAAATTAAAAAAAAGGTCATTCAAGGTCATGGGAAACTTTTTGCAACATGCATTCAACTGTTATATGGATTAGATTAATGTTGTTGCTGATGTGGTAGCTAAAAAGTACAAGTGAATAAAATTGAGAGAATGACAGCAAAAAAAAATGGATAACTGAGATTCACAGAAGAACGTGAAAAAATTTGGACCTTCACTTAAGTTATTTTCTTTGCCCTGTTCGCCCTAATACCTTCGCTTTGCCAAGCAGTTTATAAGAATCAAGGCTAAT